CCCACTGATTTATATTTATATAGATCAGTGAACTCGCCATTATGACGTAATCTAGCAACATTTAGCAACTGTTTTAGCTACTTTCAGTTGAAAGCAGTTGGCAACACTGGTCAGTGTTTTTTTCCCTAGTATTTGAATGGTTTAAGTGAAATGTGGGGTCATTAAAAAAAACCTCCACACATCACTTTTGGCCACTGTTGTGTTTGGTGGGATTAGTGCCACAATATGTAAGACCCTGCTTACTGTGTCATCACCGGTGCATTGTTGCATTTTTTCCAATTTTCCAGCCAAAAATTTTTACTACTTTAATTTCTGCAGTTAGAGCATTGATTTGTAGAGTGGAAGAAGTTATTAAATTTCTTACTTCGTCAGTTACAAAAAGAATTGACTATCTTGGCCATCAAGTTTGTATCATTTTATCAACATATAACTCCAATATGTCTCATATCTTCGTTGGAAAGTGTCTCCTCCTTTTGCTTGTTACTCCTAACTAGGTTAGGAGACCTCTCCAGCTTTCTTAAATCATTTAGGAGCTGAGACCTAGTCTTAACACTTAGGAACCTTTATGAATCACACTTATTCTTAAGTCTAGGAATAGGAGTAAAATACATTTACATACGGCTTTATACATAAGGCCCCTGATCTGAATGAATCTGGATGAATGGGCTAAAAATTATGAACCAGTAATTATTTTCCATCAATGCTATTTCTGTAAAATATTTCAAATGTATATGTGTTATTATTTTTTAACTATACAAATTATATTAAAAATACAATATAAAATTATCAATTTAAATGAATTATAATGTGAAGTTTATAATTTTATGTGTTGGAGCCAGTGAAAATATTGGCCTGTCTCAGCAAACAGAAACAATCCTTACTGTTGAGCCATGAGTGCACATTGACATACATTTATTTCTGCATAAATATACCAAAACCAGTTCAATAGGTCATCTGCACTCATAAGCTCTTAGAAAGCTCCATTTATTAAATATAATTATGAAATGTATGTACACCATTCATTTACAATAGTCATATAGAAAAAAAAAACAGCCATAGAATTAATTCTCAATAGAAAGCAAGTGTTTTTTTCTTTTCTTTTTTCTTTTTGTATTGTTTTTCTAGTCAGGAGATATAATGCACTTCAATAAGGACGAGACTTCGTTCCCGGGGCACGCTGGGTACGCTCATTTGCGAGACCGGCTCGATTACGGTGGGATAGAGAATTAAACTGCCTGAATCTGCCCGGCCCATGGGAATTGGGATACACACAAATGACTCATATTCCATCCCTCAGCCGCCGCTGATATATTCTTATTGTCCTTTAGTGGTTAATCCCAGCCTTTAGCGGCTCCTTGCACCAGTCAATAGTTTCAACATCAAATCCGGTGTTGTCGGATGCCGACGTCTTTAATCTTTTTTTTTTTTTTTTCCATGTTGAGCGATGGTCGATCCTTTAAAAACAACGTCTGGGAAGGTCCGCCGCCCTGCCACAAAACCATTCTCTCAGAACCCTCTCCGCTGGGGTTTCAGTCCATTAGCTTAAGCCCACTCTATATTCGGGCTTTGAGACAGACAGGTTTGAGCAGGCACACTGGATAAAGACAATTCAGACTGATGCTTCAGCCCTCCTGCTGTGCTTTCTGCTTGGAAAGTGTGTGTGCTGTGCATGTATAACCTATTATTATGCCCATAAAATAACAATATACAGCTCTGTCATCATCCAGGAGGCCGGCACACACTTACTTTCACGCAAGCTTTACTCTCTTCATAGAAAATAAGCAAACAAACAAAAATGTCTCTGTTGTAATTTCTTGTTCCCAGCCTGTTGAGTCATTGCTGGCCTCTGATTGGCTGCTCAGCTTGCAGTGTAGATAATACAGTGCGGTGGGGTTGCTAGCATGTACACTGGCGACAGGCTGTTCGATTAAAGGCCAGGCACGACATGGTGAGGTCAGATGTAGTATTCTTTGCTGTCGTGGTTGGGTTTGTGCAGGTCCAGCGCAGCTCGGTATGGTGGATGCTCCATGCTGGGGCGGTGCGTCTTTCCGGTGATTACAGAGGGTGCTGGAGTCCGTCGGTGTCGATATAGGAAGCGGATGATGATAGCCAGCACACAGAGGGTGATGAACACCACTGCAGCCACTACTCCTGTTTATTAGATAAATGAAGAAGTTGAACACATGCTAAATATTAAATAAGTATACTGATTCACTACTTAAAATATGGTTTGAATGAAATGGTGTGGCTTTGGATCTCATAAATGTATCTTGAGAATAAATGGAAGATGTATTAATATTTTGATCGTTCTACAGTGCAGTGCTACAGTGGTACAAATGAGAACAGCATAAAATAAAACTTCTGATATAACTAAAGATGTATGAGGCTGTACAGTTTCATTACTAAGGATGGTTTATTACTTGTCAGATCTAAGAATTATTTTGAAAAGATTTTTCCCAGAGCACAATATCATGGGGATCTATACCTCCGATTAGTGCTAAGTCATTTTGATCAGCCGTTTTAAGTGGGTCTTTGCCTTGGTCTGTTTTTGCTGAGTCATCTGCAAGCAGAGAATGAGAGGGAGAGGAAGACAAAGAACTGGATTCTGTGATTCTTTTCAGCAGGCTGAAAAATACTGTCATTTTTTAGTCTCATTGCCATGTGGAAACTATTAAAAAGAATAATTTACCTGAGTGAGTGTGTGTATTGCTCAAAGTGTTCAAGCTGGATATCGTCCCACAACTTGATGCTTCCAGACGGCCGATAACAGTAACTAACGGGCTCTGGCTGTTTTGCAGGGCTGCCTTCAGAGGGGTAGCCTGATTAAACTGCACAGAGGACAGGCAGCCAATAAACCCTCTCAATCCTGCCTGGACCAGCTCCTTATCAGTAATGTCACTACCTGAAACAGGAAAAAGAATTGAGCAACTGAAATTAAATGTGATGTTTGTAATATGTACATGTTAAAATACATTCTCTCATCCCAGGTTAATATGCACAGACAACGACACTACTGTTCAAAAGTTTGGGGTCAGTAAAATATTTAAAATGTTTTTTAAAGAAGTCTCTTATGCTCACCAAAGCTGCATTTATTTGATCAAAAACACAGTAAATAAAGTAAATATTACTGCAATTTAAAATAATGTTTCTATCGTCATGTAAAATGTAAATTATCCCTGCGACTGAATTTTTTAGCAGCCATTACTCAAGTCTTCAGTGTCACATGATCCTTCAAAAATGGAAACCATTATACATTTTTTTCAAGATTCTTTGATGATTAGAATTTCAAAAAGTTTCTTTTGAAGCAGAAATCTTTTGTAACATTATAAAAGACTTTACTGTCACTTTTGATCAATTGAATGCATCCTTGCTGAATTAAAGTATTAATTTCTTAAAAAAGAAAAAAAGAAAAACTATTTTTGAATGATAGTCTAGAAACAAATAATAAATTCAGGTTATCTCCTGAAAAGAGTAACCAAAACAAGACTCTGTTAGTGACATTGGCACAACAAATGGCGTGAGTTTGGAGTGAAATTAGCTGTTTGTCTGACTAATGGGATACATCTGACTAATGTATTGGAGTAATTAGAGAATAATTATGCATTTCACCTTTAAATTATTTCAAAGTCACTGTTTAACCACTCCACAGCTTTTATTTTAAAAGAAGCAGACTGCAGAATCACACAAGTAACCTTTAATCTGCTTAATCACCTTTTTAAAAAGCTTCATTATTATATTCCTCAAGTCCCTTTTTTAGTGTCCACAAAGCCTTTCTAAAACAGAATAATTCAGCACATTCAATGCTGGTTCCTTTTCTATTTTGCGTCTATAATGACTAATGAGTCTAAAAGGGGCTTGTTGTAGTTGCATGAATGCTTTATTGCTAATTTGTCTAAAATGTTCTCTTGCCTCTATCAAAGCGCTGAGGTTCGTGCCACTTTCAGACCCTCCTCATTGGTTATCCGGTAAAGAGAAACAGTCTCCTAGGCAACACTGAGAAATTCCATTTAGCTTTGACTTGGCAACTCACCTGTGATGGCGCTGTCAAAAGTGTGCCTCCCTAGCCAGACAACCACTCTGTCCTAACCTGCCTGGATTCAACACCTGATGCCACATCAGTGATTTGATTTGATTTGATTCATTAGACAGAAAAGTAGTAAAATACTCAATACGTCAAGGATAGCACAATAAAGTTAAAAACTTGTTTCCATTGTGGTCCTTGATGTTAAACAGAAATAGAAATGTGTGAAATGGCACACAAGGAACATGATAAAATAGAGTCCTCTTCAAAAGCCTGTCAGAAACTCACCTTGGATTCTCCCTAGAATCACAGACCTCGCCGGGCTGAGAGCAGAGCCAGGAGACAGGCTGTACTGCTGGGTTATTGTGTTGTCAATCTGGAAGGGGACAGATATAATGGCAGATAACTTGGAAACGATTGATAACAGTAATAGATTTGAATCAGTCACAGGAAAAAACAAACAAACATCTGAGATCACTAAGACATGCTTTTAGAAATATAATTCATATGCTACAAGACCTTTAAAATTTCTGAATATCAGACAAGCATAAAAATCATCTGTCCTCATTTCTGTAGAAAGTATAGTATAGGAGGTCAAGTAAACCCCTTTAGAAATCAGATATTGGCCATTGTTTTAACACCTGTTGCTATGGAGACAAAGACTCACCTGCACAAACAGCTCCTGTCCCTTTCGATTGATTTTGACCCAGTGAAACCGTCCGTCTGCTAGACTGGATGACACTGGGCTGAACTTTTCTGTTCGTTTTTCTTTGTTCAACAAGTATCGTATTTGCAGGCTGCCTGGGAAATCAGAGTAAAAGCTATTGACTTAAAGTCATAAGATATTTGTTTGAACAATGAATGCAGAGTTGTATCATGACAAGACGGAATAATGTTTAAAATTTGCAGAGATAAGTAATGGGTTGCAAAACAAACTCCAACAGAGTGTTCAAGACCCCAGTGTATATGTATATATATTAGGGGTGTAACGATTCACTCGTTTTCTCGATGCATCGATTACAAACCCTGACGATGCATATGCATCAATCTTGAAACATGGATTTTTGAATCGTGAATCGTCGATTTCGGACAGTAATCGTTTTAAAATGCTAAGAATTGAATCAATTGCGATTTCTATAGCGATTCAATGCTTTCAAAATATATACACATTAAATCACTACAAGCACGAATGAATGGAAACCATGAACAGTGTTCGTGCCTCGCATCTCTCCTTTACACGCTGCACTATTTACCGCCTGTGAGTGTCACAAGATTGCGCTCGCGCTCAGTTCGTCTCACTGACACATTTTTTGAGCAGCTGATGTGTGATCTCTCTCCTTAGTACTCGTGGCCAGTAATGCTAAAATGAAGCAGTTTTGCTTTTCTGTAGTTTTTCAATGGCTCTCGGTCATACCGACGTCATTACCTGAGCAGTCGAATGCTGCGCATTTATTGCATGGACGGAGCAAAAATGTAAGTGTCTAAAGCATACGCACAGTTCCATTGAATGATAAATGTGTTTTAACAATGTTGTTCAACCGAGTGTACGAAGGAAACTGTTAAAATAACCACAGCATTAACAACAACCTTGAAATAAGAGCGCGAGGTTTATCTGATAATCAGATGCATGAAAGTAGCTGTTGTTGCTATAGCAAACAGACATAGGGTGCGTTTTCTTTCAGAATCATAATTCGCTGATGGAGAGGAAAAGTTAAATACTATAGCATTTTGTTTTATGAAAATGAGATAAAGAAGTTTTCGCACTGAAAGAGAAGTGATCTGGCGCTCAAAGAACTTAAGGCATGCCAGGAAATGCCTAATATGGACAAAGGCATCTATCGCTGCAGCTAAGCTGAATAAAAAGCAGAATGAACTGGTGAAACGTTAAGACAAAAAACACAATAAATAAATAAAATGTATGAATGATGCAGTGCTAATTGAAGAGATAAGAAAAGAATTCCTTGTAAAAAAAAATAAAAAATAAAAATACATACATAGGCCTACATAAATTATTGTATTTAACATTTCTGTCACTTCTGAAATGATAGCTACACCCCTAGTGTGACAAAATGTTAGCCTATACATAATACTTTTAAAGCTCTTTTTAAAAATCTTGACTTACATAAATTTCTACATATGCCATGTCATGCCATAGCATCATTAAACTAGCATCTAACAATGGACAAACGTGTTTTTTC